AGTGCTTATAGTCTTTTCAATTGCTTATATGAGGTCCTGTTAAGAATTATTAAAATCACTATTTTGTATAAGTAATAGAATTTATAGTAATGACTATTCCATGTCTCAGCTGTTCCAAAAGTCCCTTAAAGATTCTTAGAATAAAGGAATAAACACCTGAGCTCACACATCCTCAATTATCTGTACTACATTGTCCCACACCTCTGTTCTACTCTGCATCAGTCACTAAACACCATAGTCACACTTTAGATCGCATCATCCTTCTAAATCTCAACAACAAAACTAAAATTCGACGTCCTCCTTTCTGACTACACATTTGTCTCCTCTCTTTTGGTTCAACATTCTGTAAAATCTATCTTCACAGTCAACTGCCTTCTAGTCCTGTAATTCTTTTTTTTTTTTTACACGTTCATCACTCTCCTCACTGCGCTGATAATTCCTCTCACCAGACTGGATGCTGATCTGGCATTTCAGCAACATACTTTTAGTACAGAAGAGGACCTCTCATTTTAAACTGCCCATTCTGCACCATTCTCTCCGTTCCTACTCTAGAATACACAACACTGTTAGAAAAAGGTATGAGACCATGATGATGGATTTTCTTGAGGGGCAATATTGATGACAGGGAGAATCAGTCTTATGGGAGGATGAAAATCGAAAAGTTAACTAGTAGAAGAATTGAATTCGTAAATTCAAGAATAACAGAATAGATAAGCCAGAACATGATAACAGAAGAAACAAGGAGACAGAGAAAGAGAAAAAATAAGCAGAGGAAACAAATAAGGAGAGAAAAACAGGCAGAATTGAAGCCATGACCAAAAGCACTAGATAAAATATTTGAACCTGTATCAAAACCCATCTGTTCATATTCCACTCCTGGCTATCTCATCTGTATGACTCATCCCTAAGCCTTTAATAAAATGTAAATTCAGTAAAAAGTATTAGGTGCAGAACTCTATGTGTTCTAAATAGTTCCACCATGAGAGAAAGTCAGGCAAGAGTTGATGCTGCAGGAAAGAAATGAGGTCATGAAGGGTAAGAATATGGTTTACGCATCAATGAGCTAACTTCAACCTGTTGTCTAGAAAGAATATCTTGGTGCTGCTGATTGCTTATGGGATCGTCTTTGGTTAGAACCAGTGTTATTAAAGGATACATTATGGAGTGATACATCCATTTTATTTAACTTTCTCCACCAGCATTGATGCTCAGGAGGAAACTCAAAATTGGGAAAAGGCAAATAGGGGCTCACTCTTAGTACTCCAAGCACTCATTCGGGGTACAGGCACCCTGTTAACTGGATTAATCTCCCTGCCCCTGTCATCGCCATGGAAGGTTGGTCTTGCCCAGAAGAATGCTCCACAAATTTTTGCTCCCACTTGGCACTCCTTTCTCACTCTTGACAACTCCCTATTAAGAAAAAAATTTGTTTCATTTATTTATTTTATTTACTCACTCAATCATTCATTCAGTTGTTGAAAAACACTTTATAAAGCACCTCCCAAGTTTCAAGGAATGTGCCAGAGGCTTAAGAAGAAGACAATAATGGTGCAGTCTCTGCCCACAAAAAACTCACATTTCAAAGGGCAGACAGATAAATCAATAAGACACTAATCTATTTTCCATACAGTAACAAGAGTAATTTTTTAAAAAATATAAATCACGTCATGTTATCACCTTGCCAAAACCTGTTAATTGCTTTTCATCCTACTTTGATGAGAACTAAAAGTGTTAATCCTTGTCTCCTGGGTTACAGAGTCCTATAGTACCTGACCCCTGTCTACCTCTTCAACATAATATCCCTCACTCTTCCCCGAACTCACCAAGATCCAGCCCTACAGCCCTTCTTAGTGCTCCACAAAGGTGCTATATTTGCTCCTTCTTGGGGGAGAGGGGAGTTGCATTTCTCTATCTGAGACCTCTGCAAGGCTAGCTTCTCAATACCAATGAAGTATCTGCTAATGTGTCTTTTCAGAGATTTCTTCTTGACCAACAAATCTAAATTAGTCACCTCTCTCAATAACATTTTATCAGATTATACTTTTGTATTTTCTCCAGGAAATACAATATTATTTAAGGTTATTTATTCATTTGTATGTGTATTTTTCATCTTGCCCACTAGACAGAGAAAACTTCAAAATTTGGAACTATTTCCACCCATTTCTATCTAACCATACCTTTGCTAATGAGGTCTGAATCTCAACCTTGGAGGAAGCCCTTTCAAGTTTGTTCCTTCCCTGAGTATTCTGCCTTGGGTAGAAGTAGCAGCTGCTTCAAATATACACAATTCTTGGATCCTTTAGAGTTCTTGTGGCAGGCAGAAAAATATCCCCTCAAAGATGTCCATCCTTAATCTCTAGAACTAGTCAATATGTTACCCTACATGGAAAAGGGCAATTTACACACATGATTAAGGTTATCAATTTTGAGATGGGAAGATTATCCTGGGTTATCTGGGTGTAATCGATCTAATTACATGAGTCCTTAAAAATGAAGCAGCTTTCCCAGCTGTAGTCAGAGAGAGATGATGATGGAAGAAGGGCCAGAAAAATGAAGAGGATTAAACTGTGGCTGGCTTTGAAGGTGAAGGAAGGGCATCATGAAGCAAAGATGTAAGTGACCTCTAGAAGCTGGAGAAGACAAGGAAATGCGTTCTCCACTCAGGAATGCAGTCCTCCCAACATCTTAATTTTAGCTCAGTGAAACACACACCAGACTTCTGACAAACAGAACAACAACATAGCACATTTTTATGCTTTGAGTCACTAAGTTTGTGGTAATGTGTTACAACAACAATAGAAAACTAATATGGTTTTCTCTACTGCATAGTTGTAATTCCCCTCTTGGAGTTAATGTCTTTGTATTAAATTATATTCTTTATATCTTTTATATTAAATTTTTCCAATTCAAATTAGTGGTATGATTTCTGTCTCCTACGTGGACAGAGTTGGTGCTGGAAGTGGTTCCAGGAGATAGACCCTCAAGGATGGGATTTTAGTATTGGTTTGGTCGTGGTCTTAGTTTTCAGCTCAAGCCTCAGATCTTTTCGAAAGGAAAATGGGATTCTTGTAATCCATGGCCTGCAGTGGAATCATCATTAATAAAACTGACCCCTATCAGATTGTGATAATGTGTCAACTGAAACAAGTGTCTTGGGACTCAGTGGCTGCTTTACTTGATCGTTAAGGCAGTGATGGTGACTACAAATATGGTAGTGTCTTCACTGGAGCACTCACAGAAAGAAAATGCCAAGCTCATGTCCTTTAATTCTCAGCTAAAGTCATGGTCTGAAAACTGGAGAGCTGGGTCTTCTTTTCTCTGAATCTCAGATATCTCATTGATTTCTCAGATAGATATATGAATATCTCATTGATATTGGTGCACTTATCAGAGATTCCAGATTAAAAGTGTGACTTCCTGGAGCTGGAGGTGGCACTGCCAGCTTACTTGATTAGCTTCCTTAAACTTGAATTCACTTGTGGCCTACAGTAAATGAGATTAATATTCCCAAACTCTCGGGCCTGATATGGTGAGAGAATTAAGAAGTCTTAAGGGCACAGGAATTAAATTTTATAAGAATCAGAGTCCTAAGGACAAAAGAATGTTGGCATGGATTTATCATATGTGACCAGCATCTTCACCCCAAATACATCCCCCAGGGAAGCACAGGAGATACTCCTTTCACTAAGGCCTGAAGAAACACATTAGCGAATTGAGTATTTCTATTCTTGATAGTTATTGTCTTTTATAAGCCAGATATGGTATTGGAATGCCCTCATTCAGATAATCTCTCTGATTTCAATGGATATTATGGGCTCTGCATAGCATAGGCCAAGTGGCAAGATTTAACCATCAAAGACAAGGTGGGCACATCATCCATTAAGGGCAGCAGTGATATACTAGTGGTCAGAATTAAATAGAGCAGCCCAATAAAGCGAGGTCTACGAACTATGGCTCAGGGTCAAATCACATTCTCCTCTAACTAAACTGTTTGGCCTTCTGAGAAGAGGGATGTATCTTGGAGAATGTCTGTGGAGTATAGTAAACTTAATTAGATGATGACTCCAACTGAAGCCACGATTCCAAATGCAGCATCTCTACTGGAGCAAATCAGCACAGACACTGGCAGTTGCTATGCAGCTACTGACCTGGCTAATGCATTTTTCTCTATACTGATCTATAAGTACCTCCAGAGGCATCTTGCTTTTACCTCGTAGGGCCAATTGAATACCTTCACAGTGTAGGCTCAGAGTCACGTCAATTCTCCTGATCTCTACCCTAATATCATCCACAGAGATCTTCAGCACCTTGACATTCTGCAAATGTCACCCTGGTCTACTACATTGATAACGTTATGCTGACTGGAGCTGATAAACAGGAAATTAGAAAATAGTTCATACGCCTTAGTAATACTAGAGAGTGGGAGAAACCTCACAAGTTTAGAGCCTACCACTTCAGTGATCTTTCTGTGGTTCTGTGTTCTAGAGTAAGTCAAGATTTCCCCTACGAGGCTAAATACAAATTTCTGCACTTTACGCTATTTACCAGTGGGGAGTGGGGGAGGAGGTCTTTTTGAACTTTAGATGAGATTTATACCATATTGAGTGTGCTACTTAGGCAAACCTACAAAATCATCCGTAAGGCTGCCAGTTTTGAGTGGGACCAGAGCAAGATAAGGCTCTACAGGAAGTCCAGGTTACAGGGTAAACTGCTCCGCCACTCGAGCTTTATCATACAGCAGATTCAATGATACTCGATGTGTCTGTGGCAAACACACGGAGTTTCTGGCAATCACCAATAGGAGGTCATAGGGCAGAAATCAAGAATTTGAGAACAAATATATGTCTACTCCTGTAGATAATTGTTCTTTTGAGAAGCAGCTTCTGAGGCTTCCTGATTGCTCACTACTGGACCTTAGTAGAGACAGTGTCTAACCATGGGACATCAGTTAGTCATTCAGGCTGAGCTTACCACTATCCACCGGGACTTACATGACCTACCTTGCCATAAAATTGTCACTCACAAAGGCAATCTACCATCAGTGTTATATAAGAGACCTACAGAAAGGTCTGACAGGTATGAGCAGGTTGCACAGCGACTCAGATGGATTTGAAGTCAACTTCTTTTACATTGTCTCTTCTACCTCAATCCACATCTGTGGGCTTCAAGAGAGCTCTTACCTGAGGAAGAAAAAAAAATTGAGCCTAGTTTACAGAGGACTCTGCACAATGTGCTCTTGACATCTGAGTAAACATCGCAAGTTTTAGTGCTCCCCTCAGGGGTAACTCTGGAGTAGAGTAGTGAAAGTCCTCCTAATGGACAGGACTCTGGGCAGCGTGTTTGGTTGTCCATTTGGTCTTGAAAGAGATGGCCAGAAGTACAAATACACACTAATTCTTTAGCAACTTCTAGCAGTTTGGCTGGATAGCCATGGATTTGGAAGGAAGAGAAATGAAAAACTGTAGACAAGAACGTCTATGGAAGACGTATGTATATGGATCTGTATTAATGCACAGGTTGTTAAGACAATCATGTCCCAAGTGCATGCCGCCTGAAGTACAGCCACTTTTGAAGACACTCATAACGATCAAGGAGACAGTGTGATGTGTTCTGTGGATGTAACTCAACTTCTTTTCCCAGAAAAACCTGTATTCTCTGAGTGGGCCCAAAAACAAAGTGTCCGTGGTGGCATGGCTGGAGGCTGTGGATGGGTTTAACATCATGGACATGCAAACCTTTACCAACTCTAGCCTGGCAACTGCTCCTGCTGTGTGCCTAGCCTGCCAAGAGCATTCTTGATATGGCACCATTTCCCAGGGCACCAGTCAGCCACCTGGTGATAGATTGATTATATTGAATCTAATTCATAATAAAAGGGGCAAAAATCCATCCTGCCTGGAATAGACACATAATCTGGTTCAGGAATTGCTTGCCATACCAGTAATTCTTTTGCCAACATAACTATCCACAAATTCATAGATGAATTCCATATCCATCATCATGGCATTCTGCACAGCATTTCTTCCTGAAAAAAGAACTCGTTTCACAGCAAATGTCATGCAGCAAAGGCTCAAGCTCATGAAATAACTGATCTTACCATATACTCCATCACCCAGTAGCAGCTGGTCCAATTGGAAGGTGTAATGGCTTATGAAAAACTCAGATACAGTGCCAGCTGGGAGGCAAGTGAAGTCATCTTAGAGGATGCTGTATATCCTTGAATTAGAGATCACATTATGGCACCTTGTCCCCTAGATCCAGCATACATAGTTCTTGAAATCAAAGAGTCATCGTTGAAATGGCTTCTCTCACTGTTATACTTAATAAGGCACTCCCATAGCTTCTGCTTTCTCTCCTGAACACCCTGAGCTCTGCTGTTTTGGAGGTCTTAGACCCCAAGGAAGGAAGGCTTCCACCATGGAGCACGACAGTGGTTCCATTAAACTGTAAACTGAGCCTGCCACTGGACCATTTTGGGCTCTTGATGCCACTGAAAATACAGGCATAAAAAGGAGTTATCCTACTGGCTGGACAGATTGATCCCATTTACCAAGGACAAATTGGGTAAATGCTATGCAATGAGGGGAAGAAAGAACTATGTCTAGAGCCCAGGGAATTCTCTGAGATGCCTTTTAGTACTTGGAAAAAAACTAAGAAAACTACAGCAATCCCAAAACTTCAGGACTATTGAGCAATCAGATCCTTTGGGAATGAGTGTTTGGGTGACTTCAGCAGGTAAAACTGCAACCATCTGAGTTCCTGATGAGAGCAGGATAATACAGAATGGTAGCAGAAGACGGTAGTCATAGTTCAATTACAGACCAAGGACAGACTCATGACCAATTATGGAGTCAAGATATATAGTGACTTTATTTTCTCTTTGCTTGTCTATGCATGTGTTTAGATATGCTAGTCATTTGCTTCTTTTATCTCCTTATACTCATTATTAATTTATATACAGGTTGTCACAGGTTAACCTTATAATTTAGTTTTCAGGTACATAATATTCAACAGGACTGTCACAGAATTTGAAGAGTAATTTAATATAGCCAGAAATGGATAAAGTGACTCTTGGGACTCGGTTCCTTCACATTTTGGGGAACAGTTGACAACTTTCCTTATGCTAATTATAGTTCTATCTGGTTAAGTGGAAACATAGAATTGTTTTGTTATTATAACCAAAGGAGTGGACTGTGCCACTTAATAACTTTTTGCCTCATCAAGAAAACCTTCCTTCTTTGCCTTTCTTGTGATACTGAATCTGAACCCTGCAAACATTTCTACTTTGCCAGCTGGCACAATGTTGAACTTTGTAAGTAAAGAGCACAAGAAGAACACTGCAAGAGGCATGGTTCAAGCTCTGGGGTGCTTTTGTTCCTGCTCCCACAGCGCACAGCCACCGTTGGCATGCAGGACATCAGTGGCATTCACTATCCAGTGAGCTTTCACAGGGAGTCTGGGCAAGGTGGGGGTCTCCCAGTGAATTTCAATCACACCCCAGCAGGTGGCTTGCCAACCAGATTTACCAGATACCCAGTGAAAAGCTTCTGAGCACATCTTGGTGGCATTCCAGTGGGAAGCATCCCAGGATGCTTGCCGGTGCCCAATGCGTGGCTTCTAAGCACATCATTCCCCAGCAGGCAGTTTCCTGCTTGCCAGTCCTTGCCAGTGGCATCTCAGTCAAAGTCTCTACCATCCGTACCATCCAATGGGATTACATCCACATCCTTTCCAGTAAGGTCTGAATCTCAGCCTTTAGGGGAGGGCAGTCTTTTCCAAATTTGTTTCTTCCTTCGGTGTGCTCTCAGCCTTGGAAGTTGTATCTGCTATTCTGGTATTCTTTAGAGTTCCTTTATCCCTTAATAGTTAGATGCCTGAAATTAGTTGATAATTCTTTCAATTAAATGTTCTTGGTTCATTTCTTGTTCTGACGGGACCCTGACTAATACATACACCCACTAAGTATAAGTTCTGCAAAAATAGAAGCTTAGTTTGCTTTGTTTCCTGCTGTATCCCAAGAGTCTAGAACATTGTCTGATATAGTGCAGCAGATCAATAAATGTTTGTTGAAGTAATTAAAGTCTTGGCTCATTAGATGTAAACTGAAGAAAATAAATGAGTCAAAGATGGCATCCATGCTGCTGATGTTGGAACCTGAGTGGAAGATGTAGTCATTCTTTGAGAGAAATCAGAAGAGACAAATTGGGTTCAGACAGATATAAGAAGTTGTTACAGATTTGGAATATTCATCAGCAAATGAATATAGGATATTGACTAACTAATTGGCATGTGTAAAATGAGGACCTGGCCATGGGAAATATTACCACTTAAAAGATCAGCAGAGAAAGTAAAGATTTTATGAGAAGCAGCAATTAGAAGAAATAACATAAGGAAATGGTGATGGGAAAACGAAGTATTTCCCATGCTCTTTATGCTCAAGTACCAGTCAATGCCACACTCGCCACAGATAAATTTGTTTCTCATGTCACTGAAATAAATATTCACAACACTCTCTTGGCTCTGCATATAATTTTCTTACAATGGAAAAATAGATATTTATAAGCATATTTTCTCTCGTAATTAAAAAAATAAATACCTTCAAGGGTGGAGAAAAGCAGTGAGTGGATGTGCATGTGCAAGTCACAAAGCAGAAACATAAACAGGCTAACAAAAAGCTCACTTCACTACAAACCCAAAAATTCAGATTAAACAAAAAGTAAATCAGTTGTAATTTTTGGCTACCAGATTCACAAAGATTTTTGAAAAATGATAATTCCTTCGCTTGTGGAGATATTATGAAATGGTCGCACCCTTACACAGCTTACAGAAGTATAAGTTGGACTAACAGTTACCAATATGGATCAAAAGTATTTAGAAATGTGCATTGCTTCATATTCAAAAATATTTCTGGGAATTTTCCTATGAAAGTAAATATTAAGATTCAAATATATTGAAGTAATCCATCTATCCAATAATAGAAAGTAAAAATAAATTATGATATACAGAAGATATTTAAAATGTTGTTATGGAAACACATTTGTTAATGTATGTATCAGTCTCCTTGGACGGACATAACAAAACCCACAGATTAGGGGGCTTAAACAACAGAAATTTATTTTCTCACTGTTCTGGAGGCTGGAGTCTAAGACCGAGGTGCCAGCAAGGTTGGTTTCTGCTGAGCACTCTTTCTTATACTGGCAGAGGGCAACTTTTCGCCCTGTCTCACGTGAGCTTTTCTCTGTGCTACAGGAGAGAGAGCTCTCTGTGCCTCTTCCTCTTCTTAAAAGGACATTAAACTGACCAGATTAGATTAGATTAGATTAGGAGTCCCACCCTTATCACCTCTTTTATCCTTCATCCTCCTTTAAGAACTTATTTCCAAATATAGTAACATCTAACATTGGGGCTTGGAACACCAACATATGAATTTGGAGGGGGACACAGTTCAGTCCATAACAATGTGCAAAGATGATCAATGATATATCACTAAATACAAAGGGAGGTTATAAATTATGTAAAATGTGCAATCTCATTTTTTAACAATAAAATAAAATAAAATAATTTATATACCTAGATGTTAGCAGTTGATTTCCAAGGGTATTAAATTACGGATTACTTTAATATTCTTATTTTGTTCATAATAACTTCTATTTTTTAATATAAGGAACTTCTGCTTATTGTTCAGTAAGAAAAAAATAGTATTTAAAATTGAATAATGCAAACATACACACAGCTTTAAATAAGCACTTATCAGTATGCCATATCACTGAATTCTACTAATTCTTCTCCTTTTTAAAGTTAGTTGAGCAATATGCAGATGGGTGTGAGAGTATAGTATTATAGGGGACGACCTGTGGCCCAGTGGTTAAGTTCTCAGGCTCTGCTTTGGTGGCCTGGGGTTTTGTGGCTTCAGATCCTGGGCATGGACATGGCACCGCTCATCAGGCCATGCTGAGGTGGTATCCCACATAGCACAACCAGAGGCACTCACAACTAGGATATACAACCATGTACTGGGGGGCTTTGGGAAGAAGAAGAAAAAAAGAAGATTGGCAACAGATGTTAGCTCAGGTGCCAATCTTTAAAAAAAACAGAGTATAGTATTACATATATAAAATGAATCTGAGTGAAATAAATCTCAGTGGAAAATTGCTCTGGAAAAGAGATGGGTATCGAGGCCAAAACATTATTTATTAAGAATTTTGAATAGCTCTGAAGGTCAATGGGAGACACCTGTTATTTGCTCTAGCCCGGTCCACACACAGCTGTGAGAAATTGGAAGAAAGACGTTTTGAGTTCTTTATTTGACCTTCTGCATCTGGCCATTACATGGCTTGCTTTATGAGAAAGGTCCCCATAACGGATTTACTGCTTGCCATTATTTAATGACATGCTTCCTGTTTAACCTCACCATCCTAGGACCTTCCAAAAGAAGGAGAATTTTGGATAAACGTCCTTTTCCTATATTTGTATCAGGGGAAAAATAAGTGTGTCTATATTCCCAGGAGAAAGTTCTAGAGAGAAATTTGCTAGCATTAGTAGAATAGTGTTCAACTATTGTCTCCACTAACTCAGGTCATTTTCAGCATCGAGGACAAATTCCAGTCTTTCCTTGATAATTTTATTTGTGCAGAAGATTGCAAAGAAGCACTTACGGCTCAAGGTAAATCTAGAAACCCTAATGTGCAAATAATGAGGTAGATTTTTAAAAATTTTTTTCAGAGGACATTTTTGTGGAGAAAGTTATTTTCTCCTAGCAGTTTCCACTTATGACAATAAAATTTCTTGTTGCCATAACCTTCCAGTACATTTCTCTGCACACAGTGGGTGATTAACCAATGTTGCCGACTAAATTGCGTTAAAGACTAAAGTGAAGTGTTGTGATTATTGTCATCTGGTTGCCATAGAAACAGCAGGAAAACCTATTGTTGAAGTCCACATCTTTTGATTATCTCGCCTAGGTAGATAAGAAAACCTGAGGAGTAGGAGGGAGAAGCTGTTTGAACCCACACTGAGAAGTCCTTCACTGACAGCTGACCACACTGCATTATAATTATTTTCTATTTCTAAGCTTCAGCACCCTACTAGATTATATATTTCTGTGGGAGAAATGGCATTTGTTATTGTCTACTCTGAGCCAGAGATTTACATACATTTTTCCCCAAATCCTGCAAATTGGTGGCACTATTTCTGTTTTTACAAAAGGGGAGTTTTTAAAACTTCATGGGAAGTGTCACGCCAGGAAATGAGCTCTGGCCTGTTGATTCCAGCAATCTAGTAAGAACTCGACATTGCCATTCAGTACATTTGTTATCCTTTATTGCTTACTACAATTGGCACTCCAAAATCAACAACAACAACACACTCAACCCTTGAACTGGCATAATGTTAAATTTGCAAACAATATTTGGGAGTGTCCAATTAAATGACACCTCTTCACTTTATATTTACATGTCTACATTTTAAACTTAAACCAATGAAAGGGACTTTAGACACTATCCTAATATCTCATCATTATTTTCACTGATTAGGTAACTGAGATTTCTAGAGATTCCCGACATTCGGGTTAGAAACTAAAATTTGCAGACACAGCATAGAACTTACCCTGTTAATTCAAATATTATAAAGCAGTGGGATGAGGGACAAGATAAGGGAGTTAGTTTATTTCAGAATAAGTGTGATTCAGCTATTGATCGGTAAATAATCCAAAGTAAATAGGGAAAGGAAAATGTTCGACATGGTTATTTTTTTCAAGACTGGTAAGATGGTAATGCAATTAAGGAAAGAAAGAAATATTCATTGGTTGCTTTGTCAATCTGGGGTATCCTTCAGGAAAGAAATGACATACTCAAATTTGGTAATGGAGAAGAATTTAATTGAAACCACCTGCCACTTATCAAAGTATGGCCAGGGAGGAGGTAAAACTCTAGAGTTCAACATATCAGGAATAGAAACAGTGGGCCTCTCCCAGCCTAAGGCCTGAAATGAAGAGAGAAGAAAGCACTTTTTCAGAATGAAGAGATTGAAAGAACTAAGGAAACTGGGCCTCTGGAGGGGAGCAGGACTCAGCTGCACATTGGTGACCTGTAGGGTAAGACCCAGAAGGAGGAATATTCTGACTTCTCTCTTCTCTAGTTCTGTGATCTGGCAGTTCTCCCTGACGGCAGAACCCAACCAGATGTGGGAGGGTGAGGAGGTTCTTTGAGATGGTGCATACGAATCAGCTTCCTAAGGTACAGGGAAGAGAGGAGAAAAGTGGTGAGTGGAGTAAAACATCCAGCAGAGTCCAGGTAAAATGAGCAGTCTGATTTTAGAACCTAGTGAGACTAAGAATCTTGAAGGACACATGTTGATCTACAGTACAACACAAGTCTGGTTCTCAGAACTGAAATCAGGCTGGGAAACCATTTCGTGACCATCTACAGTGAGAACATAGACATAACCCAAAAAGGCATGAGATTGTCCAGTGACGGAATGTAGCATAATAAACATAGGGTTTCAAAAACAAAATCTTGGCTTATGCTTCCAAATAAATTTGTGAAAAAGAGGATCAAGTACAGATAAACAATATATCCTGAAGGACTAAAAATAACAAGACACAAAGCCAGACCTGTGGTATGATTTTGAAGAGTGGTACCTACCTTCAAGTCATTTTCTCTTTTTTTGGAGAGTTAAAACTTGTACACAAATTACAACAAATCATAATGGTAAATAATTAGTAAATTTTATGAGAACGGTAAAAATAAAATGCTATAGACATTTAGAGTAAGGGGAGATTATAATTTGCCAGAGGTTGATCAGGAAAATCTTCATGCGTAAGGTAAGAAAGAGAGATGGATATTGATTAAGTGGTTCCTGTTGTCCCATCGTGTTCCCTCACACAGTACTATTTCAGGGCATGTGGCCCAAATGTGAGAGGCAGTGTTGAGGGCTTCCTCTGGCTCTGCCTGAGCATGACAGGCTCGAATTGCTAGGCAATTAATGCCCCCAGAAATATATTCAGCCAACATCTAGTGAGAATTGATGGATAACTAACACAATTAACTTACCCCTCGTATAGCCTAATATTTCCTACACTGGTTCCCAGGGTTCTCCAGTGGGATTGAGCTCCAGAAGTCCACAATTGTAACTTGCTTGATAACACACTCTCTTACAGGCTTCTGTCCCTTCCTATGTCACTTCCTCATGTTATTTCCTGGGACCACCACACAGGTAAGCCATGAAAACATGAGTCCTTGACTGATTCCACAACAACACAAACTAAGACATTCTCTAGTATTTATAATTTATACAGTATAGAATCATTGAAGAGGCTTTCTCATGCTTAGTGTGTTTTAACGTTTTCACCAAAATATTTCTAATCATGAAGAGGTAACAGGGTAATAATGAACATTTTCAAAAATATTAGTCTTGGGTTCACCTTACCTTTGCCACTTCTCTGTATCTGTCTGCAGTGACTTAACTTCTCTAGTCCTCAGTCAGATTCCTAAATTAGAAAACAGGAAAAATATTATTCACCTCAGAGAGATAATATAAGGATTAAATGAGATAAAAAAATATAATGCACTTAACATAGTTCTTGGCAAATGGAAAGTACTGTAAGTCAATATTGGCTAATATTTTTAATATTTCAGTAAATACTTATTAGTACTACTAACAGTTGGGGAGAGTAAACTCATACCCTTAAGGAGTATTGCAGCATAAATTAAAGGAACATAGCACAAAACTTCTTTTTTAGCTTTAACATTCAGCCACTTTTTAATACCTCATTTAAGTGAAGCAACTTGCCAACTCAGCCTCACCCAGTCTCTGTTTAAATGAGGACAAAGCCATGACGTATTAATCAGCCTCGGACTATGCTTCTGCCATCTTTCCTGCTGGGAACGATGTCCTATCTCGCCCTAAACCTCTCACCAGTTTTGGTTGTCAAGCCTCAATGTAGCTCCTGCTTATCACTTTCTACTAGGAGCTTGATCCTATCCCTATCCAGGAATACCCAGCTGCTGACTAAAATAGCTTTGTTCAACCTACCAAAGCTTCAAGGACCAATTCTAAATCTACTTGACTTCAAATGGCTCTGCCTTACAAACTGTCCATCCCTTTAGTCAAGATCAGACTAAAAATGCAGATGAGTTTCATTGTGTCTCATTGGACACAATGATTGGGAAAGCTAGCCCCAGGGCCACTGCTGTTAAAATGCCATCTTTGTAAGAGTTAGAAAGACAAGTCCTGTGAGAACCTCCTCTGAGGAAAAGGCATCTCTTTGTCTGGGCTGATGAGACCTGTGCCTCTGCATAGTGACTGACAGCAGAACACAGACAGGCTTCAACTCTCACCTTCAATTCCTTCAGCTGTACGCAGAGCACAGTTTGTGTGAAGGCATGTTGCTGCCCAGGCGGCCCACTCTGCTTGGCACTACCACAGCATCAGGTCTCCTTGCTCTTGCTGGAGCATACTTCCATCCCCCGGCCAGCATACCTCATAGCCAAAAGTCTTGGGTTTTGATGAATAAAGATTCCAAATTAATTTACCATAAGAATCCTTCAACTACAATTTATGTCTGTGTTTTCTCCTAACTATGCCAAGATTGTGAAATATTAAACTTTCCTTCTGCAATTGGTGTGTGCCTTTAGGGATCAATATGATATGATTAATTTCCAATGTAAAACCATGAAATAGTAGCAGCGACAAAAATATGAACCACTTTCATTTAGTGCAGGAATAAAGGTGACCCATTCAGTCATAACTGCAAATAGTCTGAATAAGCCATCCCGAAACGGAAAGGTCATCTCAGTTTAATTGTAACTATGCTCTCTTGAAGTAATAAAAAATAGTTGCCTAATGAATATCTATATGAAGACTCAGTCAATTAAAATCTTTGATGGTACAGGAAAACTTTCACCGCCTATTCAGAATTTTAAT